GGAAGTGCTACGGTCCTTGAGATTGCAACGTCTACCAAAACTGAGTAGTCTCAACAAAAGTTGCAGGCACATGCCACTTTTCAATGAACAGGTATTTCAATAAATTGTTTCATTTTTTTAATTTTCCAAGCCATCTTTATTATTTCTTTGAGTCGAAGAATAACTAAAAAATAGAGTGATTGAATTTTAACTTGATAGGTCTCACGTCCTGAGTTAAGGCTATACCACTACCATCGATAGAGAGTTCAATTATTATAATATTTCTCATTTTTAAAATTACTTTTTTTAGTGACATTCTTAAAATTAGTTAAAGAGCAATGCTAGGGGCACTCTCCGCTAACACTTTCACTTTTATTGGGCCACGTTATTTTGGTTTCGGAAGAGGTTGCACTTCAAAGCCTAAAACAAGCTTATGTGGCCCAATGAAAGGGGAAGTGTTGGCCGGAGAGTGCAGGAAGCGAGTGCCCCTAGCACTGCTCTTAGTTAAATAAACGCTAAACATTTAATTTGTCTTATTAAATGATGTGCTAAGACATATATAATACCATCTCTCAACAGCAAGCTCATGTTATACTCTGCTTTGGGTCCATTTTCCTTGTATTTTTTTTTTTTTATAAAAGGATAGTTTAATTTATTTGTCAATTTTAATTTTTAACATAATATTAAAGTTTTCTTAAAAACAAAAAACTCTTTTTGTTCAATTTTATCTCTATTAATGATTACTTTTATTCTTAAAAAACACATTGAAACTTCCCAAGTACTCTTATTAATGGGGGTAAATATAAAATTTTAACTAATAATAAGTGTATTTTGTAGATCTTTGTAATTTGTTTTAATAATCATACAAAATAAAAGTGAAATAAAAGTGTGATAAATAAAATGGACGAAAGGTAGTATTTTATATTGAATAATAATTCTTGACATAAAGTTTTAGGACAAATTTTTGGGACCAATATTTCATCCAATAATTATGTTGGCGTATATGGAACTCACGATAATCAAGAAAAATAATTGGTGCACATTATTCTAGGAAAAATTGGCTCTAATTATGATTGTTCTTTTATATATTATTGATATTACTAATATTTGAAATTTCATGTGAGGACTATAATTATTATTAGTCAATATGAAGTTAAAAATTTTTGAAATAAAAAGATTAAAAAATTAATTAAGTGATAAAATAATTTTCAAATTCAGACATTTGGGTTTTGTATGACAATATTTTGCATGTTCCATTTTTACACACAACACCTTATTCCAAAATAAAAAATTTTAACTCATAAATTTTAATTAATTTTTTCTTTTGTCAATTATTTAAGTAATTTAAATATAAGTAATTTAATAATAAATTTTTTTGTTGAAAATAAAATATCTTAAATTTAAGTTGCAATAGCGTCTGAATAAGGTGTCTGAATAGGGTGAGAAATATGCAAGTGGAGTGGAATAAAGAATGTAAGAGGATTGTGTCTCATTGAAATCAACATAAAAAAAATTAATGTTTTATATATTTTTATTAATTTTAATTAATATTTTGTGTACTTTTAGTATAGTAAAAGACAAAAAAAAAAAAAAAAAACATAGTCGACAGCCATCAGTTGTCGAAGATACTTGTTTAATCGACAGCTACTGGCTGTCAAATATAACCTGCTAAAATTATAAAGATAATTATGAAATTCTGTTAATAATAAGTATATTCGACAGTAAATATCTGTCGATTAAACTAGTATATTCGCTAGTTAATATTTCTGTCAAATATATTGATTATCGACTACATTTTTTATGACACCTTTGCCTGTCGAATATGTCTATCGATTAAGACATAATCGACAGAAATCCCTCTATATTCGACAGAAAATTCTGTCAAATATACCGCATTTTTCAGTAATATTTTAATGAGTAAGATTTATATATAAAAAATTTTAAACTTATAAAATTTTTTTGAGAGAAGGGTAACGTCTGTGTTTAATCCTTGGCAATATGCATCTGTTACTGCCAACAATAATACATCCTAATTCTGTGTTTAAAGAGGGATTTTTTTTTCTACTTAATTTGAGAGTATTATTTTTAAGTTATCGAACCTGCACTCGTACTAATTTTGTGAATTTAATAAAATTACACAAAATCTAATTTTTGATAGAGTAATTATTTTTGTTGATATAACAAGTTTTGATCTTACTTCTTAAGAAGTGATTTTCAATAACATGATAATTAGTTGAGGTTTAATCAAAGGTTACGTTATGTTTTATTTATATAAAACTATGGTTAAAAAAGATGAGGATTAGTTAGCAGCATAATGAGATACTATAATTCATCTTATTTTTATATGGTAAGAGAAGATAAAGAATTAATAATGGCATAATATAGGTAAAAGAATATTTCAAATCCTTCATTACCTAAAATTATAATCATAATTAAAAAAAATGAAGAAAAACCATATTCAGGGTTTATTGAGCAAATCAAGAATTAAAAAAATTTGAAGAAAAACCATAGTCAGAGTTCATTGAGCAAAAAGAAAGACAAAAAGAGAGAGGTTCTCCTCGATTTTCTCAATCAAAAAAAAATATTTTTTTTATAAGGGTAATGGTTAATAAATTAATATTATTAAGTGTTAGTAACTGTAATTTGATTCAGATCAGGTGAATAGTTCATCGACCTCGTGAGATACGCGACCATCAAACCACGGACGGTGGAGTTCAATCAGAAAAAAGTAGTTAATAAAACTAAAATCATAAAGCACATATTAATAAAATAAAAACAACGATTTGTTAGTGGCATTGGAAGCAAAAATAATTCATCCCATATTTTTTAATGGAAAAAGAAGACAAGGATTTGTTAGTGGCATGGTGAGTATAAAAAGCATATCCGGAATCCAAGAGAGAGATAGGTTGTCTCCTCCATTTTCACAATTAGAATAAAGTAGAATTTAAAAAAAAAAAATTATGGCACTAATAAAAGACAGGAGGTAGCTAGTGGCATAACGAGGGTAATAGCGTATTCCAAAGCCATATCATTGCCTAACATCTCAATCAAGAATTAAAAACAAAGGGGTAAATGCGTTAATATGATAGAATTTTGCGTGGTAGAAATAGAAACATGGAAGATAAAAATAAGAGTAATGATAAATGATATAAAATTTTAGGATTAAAATTTGAGATTAATGATATAGTATAAATTATGTTATTTAAAATATTAAAAAATAGATATTATATTATTTAATTATTAATTTTTTTATTTTTTTAACTTGTGATATTATATGCATCAATTAATTTAATAACATAATATAAATCACATGATTGGTTCTAAGTTGTTGTCCTACCTA